GGGCTGGGGGCAGGGGGGTGTGCGGGTGGCGCAGGGGAAGGGGACACAGGCAGGGACCATGGGGATGGGTCACAAGGAACTGTAGGGCTGGGGGGCAGGGGAGCATGGGCTGGGGGCGGGAGGATGTGGGATTGAGGGGACTGGGGCGCAGGGGGACACAAGAAGTGAGATGTGGGGGACACGGGTTTGGGGTGCTGGGGGACACGGGGTTTGGCTGCAGGGGAGCCCTGGGGCTGGGATACAGCAGGACGTGGGAATGGGGGCAGGGGCCGTGGGTGCAAGGGGCCGTGGGTCTGGGAGACGCAGGGCCTGGGCAGGGGCGTGCGGATGGGGGGCTGCAGCGCGGAGGCACGGGGGCTGGGCTGCAGGGCACACGGGGCAGCAGTGCAGGGCTGCAGGGGACACAGTGGCAGTGCAGGGCTGCAGGGCACAGAGGGTGGCAGCGCGGGGTAGCCCTGGCTCTTGCTGTGCACAGGGTCCGTGGTGTCCAGACAGCTGGAGCGGGTCTCCAGGCAGGGATGCCCAGAAAGACAGAGTTGGGGAGAGCTGGGTGACAAGGGCACCAAGGGGCCGGGCCTTGCAGCGTGGTGGGCGCAGGGCATCCCGCCTCGGGACGCATCCCCCGCAGCCCGAGCCGCAGCCCCCTCGTGCTGCGCTTGTGGCAGGCGGCGCATCCCGGGCTTCCCGGGCGAGCAGAGGGCAGCCCCGCTGGAAATGAGCTCATCCCCTTTCCCCAGCGTGCCCTGCCATCATCGTCCTCCTGGGCCGCGGCTGATGCACAGGGTGACTCGTGGCAGGGCCCTGCGGGAGCAGCGGGGCTGGGGATGAGCTCAGCTCCGGTGCTTGCTCAGGGCCAGGCTCTGCAGTGCGGGGTGGCTGCGGGACAGCCAGGACAGCTCTGCTGGGACCGGCACTTTGTAAGCGGAGTCATCCTAGGTGCGAGTCCCGGTGCCCGCCTTGTGCTCCCGAGCACAGAGCACCCAAGCAGCTTCCCTGGGTCCCAGTGTCCCGAAATAGCTATCCCCGCCGGCTCTGCTGCCGATAGGAACATCTGTCCCGCCGGTCTGGGTCTGCCTCCGCCAACCTACGCCTCTCCAAAGGGCACTACATCCCCTCGGATGGCTAAGTGGCATTTGGGAGGTTCTCTTTGGCCAGACGATGGGGTGCAGAGGCTGCACCCCGGGATAGCGAGTCCTTGCTCAGAGCGCAGCCACATTTGCCCTGTCCCACACTTGCGCGGGGCTCGTGCGCCCATCCCCAAGGCAGAGACTGCTCAGAGCTGAATCAGCCTCTCGGAGACGAATATATCACTAGAGTAACTGAGCTCACCTCAAGGCAGCTGCTCCCCAGTGACACATGAGGTCAGAGCCGGGAGGTGGAAGAGGCCACGATGGCCAGTGGCACCGCACGAAGCCCCGGGCTGTCCGTACCTGCTCCCGAAGCCATCTCCCTGCTGCCCTCCCTGCAATGGGAGCCCCGCGAAGCCCGCAGAGCTGCGCTGGGGCCAGCATGGTAGCTCCCGCAGAGCCTGGCTCCCACAAGGACCTCCGCCTCGTGCAACCGCTGCAGGGAGCCCACAGACCACCCAGGAGCCAAGTGCTCCATGTCCCCTTTGGAAAAGCACAGGAGAGCCTGCCTGGGGCACAGACAGTGCAGCTCTGATCCCCTACAGGATATTCCCTGAAGGCAGTGGTCCTGCTTCCAGGGTCCTGCAGGAGCTCTAGGGACAAAGACCTGTCCCCTGTGAAACACACAGATCTGTCATCTCTGGGAGCTCACACAGGAGAGCAGGACCATAGGGGCCCTCGAGGTCGGCCCGCTCTGGCATACAGGGAAGGGGAGAGGGTGGACACTACAGGAGGCAGAGGTGGGACCGCCCCCATGCCAAGCAGGCACAGGTCACGCGCAAAGAGCAGGGCACAGGTGACTTGAGGACATCGGGCGTCTCTGGACCACAAAGGTCTCTCTCACAGATGGCTGGGTCTCAAATCAGGAGAGATCCGCAGCCCTGCGCACAGCAGTGGCCAGGGCCTCCTGGCAAAGCCCAGCCCAGAGGCTGCCAGGAGCCTAGGAGGTGCACGGGGAGGCTGGTGCCACAAGGCTGAGGGAGGACCCGCTGGCCAGCCCAGCCCCAGTATGCCCTGTCTCCATAAATGGGTGGGGAAAAAACGCACAGCAAAACATCACGTTCCTTTGGCTCCTCATTTCCACAGAGACAGCCCAGATGGCATCAGCTGACTCTGGGATCTGCCGTTAGATCCCTCAAGCAGGGGTTATTTCCATAGGGACATCCCCCAGCACTGGAGTCCTCGAGCCATGCAAGAGATGCAACTGGACAGGCAGGGGACACACCAGTCCCCAAGCCAGCAGACAGGGCCAGGTGCTGCGATCCCAGCCTGGTGACTGGTCCCACATCACGGACCTGCCTGGACTGAGCTCTGCTGAGCGCCTTGTGCCCCATCCCAGGGACAGAAGGGACATGTGGCAGGAGCAGGTCCCGACGGCTCCGCAGCCGCCCCCGGCACCTCCTTCCATCCGCGGGTCACAAGTCACCGTGGCCACCGCGGTTCCCTGGCAACCCCGCGCGCCTGGGCGCCCTGGCCATGCAGCGCCGGGGCCGGGTCACCCATGGAGGCTGAGGAGCCCCAGGCGGAGGGTCCCACCGAAGGGCCCCCGGCCAACGGGGCGCAGGCAGAGCCCCCGCCACCCATCGGGCCCCCCACGCAGCCACCCCGGACAGCATCGCCGGCAGCACCCGATGGCGCCTGTGGCGGGCCCCACTGGGAGGGCAAGGATATGTGGGGCATGTACCCGCCTCTGGCCGTGTTGGAGGGCGAGGAGGTGAGAGAGGGCTCCCAGCAGCGGCAGGCGAGGCCCAGGACGGCCAGGGGACAGAAGAAGGCGGCGGACAAGAGGGAGGCGGCAGATAAGATGGAGGCGGAGGACAAGATGGAGGTGGTGGACAAGATGGAGGCGGCAGGTATGTGTCTCGGCCCCTGGACCAGCTCTGGGTTGGTGTGAGGATGAAGTGGCCCTTAGGGAGTCCCCCAGTGGGAGGGCGGCACCAGGAGACAGAGAGTGGTAGCGGGGAGCCCCTCTCCCTTTCCTGACGCCTGAGCAGAGCTTCTCCACCCGGCCCCTTTCCACCTCGACCGCGTCCTCCCCACCGTGGCGCTGCCCACGGCGTCCCTGCCCCTCCACCGCGTCCCTGCTCTCTCCCTGCAGCCGGCTCCGCACAGCCGGTGCTGCCGGCCGAGGAGGTCGAGCCGCCGGCCGTGGCCAAGGCCATGCAGTGCAGCCAGTTCGGCCGGCATGTCGAGGAGCTCTTCCGGCAGGAGAAGGAGGCGGCGCTCAAGGCGCTGCGCACAGGCAAACACCGGGGACATGGACGGGGACGGCCCCACGGGACCCCGCAGGGCAGCGGGGTGGCCGGTGCCAGGGCTGAGGTCCGGTGCATCCCGCAGGGCTCTACGTGGGCTGGCGCTGCCCCGAGTACCTGTGGGACTGCTTCCGCGTGGGCGAGCACTCCAAGTGCTTCTGCGGGCACCTGCTGGGAGAGCACGAGCCGTACGCAGGTGCGCACAGGCGCTGCTGGGGGGCCCGGCGCGGGGCACGTGGCGCTGACGGGCCACCTGGGTGCCCGCAGAGGTGCGCGACTCCGTGCCCTGCGCCGCCGGGCGCTGCGAGTGCCGCGGCTTCGCCTTTGTGCCCTCGCGGCCCGAGGACGTGGGCGAGCTGTGGCTGCGGCGGCGGGCGCCGGCGGAGCGCGCGGGCTGGCACGCCGCGTGCCGCTGCAAGCACAGCCACGAGAAGCACGCACCGGGCGGCACGCGGGCCTGCCGCGCCGCAGGTGAGCCCGCCGCTCGTGCTGCACGGCTCCTGGGCACCGGGGGCCATCAGGGCCACAGATGCTCTTGTGTCTGTCCGTCCGCCCCTGTCATCTCCGCAGGCTGCCCCTGCAAGGGCTTCGAGTCCACGTTCCTGTGCGCGGCCTGCGACCGGCGCTGGGAAGAGCACCAGACTTTCTTCGAGACCATGGAGGCACGGAAGCAGGGCGGACTGCCCTATGGTACGCAGGGACGAGGAGGAGGAGGAGAGGGAGGAGGAGGAGCAGGGCTGCAGCCCCCTGCCCTGTGTGCCTCTCTGCCTGCCCCCAGGAGAGCAATACCTGGTCTTCGCGGAGCTGCCTGAAATGAGGAATGCCGTGCTGACGGGGAAGACCAGCGACGACTCTGCGTATCTGGCGCTGCTGGCGGAGATGTCCAGCCCATCGAGCTCCCAGACCCAGCCCCTGCCCTCCACAGAGCCCCCCAATGCCCCCAAGTAGGCGCCCGTGGGCTGGAGCCCCATGCTGCCCCAATAAACACGCTGTGATGCACGTGGGATGTGTCCATGGGAGCTGGGAGCAGTGCCCACACTGCACCGGGGGCCTCCACCAGAGCCCGTGAGGAGCAAGAGGGGTGTTCGTGGTACCCTGGCGACGGGGACCAACGCGAGGGGACAGTGCAGGGTGCCCCCTGCCTGCTCCACAGCCCTGGTCCTGCTGCGCCCGTGCAGGGGCTGCTTGAGCCCTGGGCCTGGACCCGCGGCGTTCCCGACCCTGGTCCCGGAGCGGCACCGCTGCCCGGTGCTGGAGCAGAGGCTGAGGGTGCACGGGGGCGCTGGGGGCAGCTGCTCCTCCAGCCCCTCAGATCTACGCGCTCCGGCTCCCGCAACTCCCTGCATCTCCATGGCCCGGTCCGGGACCCACCACTCCGGACCCAGTCCCGCTGTCAGATGCGGTTCTGCACCTCCCCGCCTCCCAGCCCCGCTCCCGCATCCCCCGCTCCCGCTCCCGCCCCGCAGTCCCGC